TTTAGGCAAAGACTAAAAACACCTTTTGTCTTGGGCTCTTGGTTGAGTAAAGGCTAGTGATGGTTCTTGATAAAAAAACATATCTTGGGATGACATTAAATACATCCAGGTACTGTCTTGTAAAAGGCCTCCTAGACAAAGACTTAAAGGGCAAACAAACTTTATCTGTTGACCAGACTCGCACCTCTTCATGTATTAGAATAGCACAGGTTTATTTATAATACATTGTTTCCAGTTTAGGATGGTGAATGCCGAGTTTTTTTTGACTCAATGCATTGGTTTTGCTTATGTTTCTGTTTTTATGACTAGGCAAATCATTTTAACATCTCCTAATGAGGGGACAGCTCTTAAACTTAGTTTTATGGTTCTGAGGCTGGCTGGTAGTCAAGTCTCCCAAAGAGGCTGATTCCATCAACAGCTGTAAAATATTGGAGTACTGTTGCGCATGGATGGTGTCCCAGTTTGTACTTTTAGTGTGCATTGTCACATCAAGATCCTTTTATTATGGGCCAGGGTTTATTAATCGTAATAAGGCAATTGCTTGGACTATTAAAAAGTGTACTGAGTACTATCTATGCTTTGAGTCAAGTTCTTTAACAAATTTAAAAATGAATAAAGTACCAAAAAACTGTAAAATACAAAAAACCATTGTCATTACCAAGCTCACTATTATTTGTGGTTTTTGAGGTAACTTTTCTTTTGTTGAGTCTTATCTCTTGCAAAGTTCACCAGACCTACTTTCACTTTGTGAGACTAGTTTGAGTTCGGCTGTCTCATCTTGTGATTTTAGTGTTGATGGTTATCTTCCTTTATTTCTTAAAGACTCCAATAGTCACATACTTGGCCTGGGCATTTACATTTCTTCACCCATATTTCGGAAAACTAAGTTTGATTCCACAGACTATTCTTTTACGTGCTTTTGTTTAGCACCACTTCACTCTACTGCCTTTCTTTTTGTTCTATATCATTCAACTTTATATCACTGCACTCTTTTAAATGTTATTTTTGATCAAATTGACCAAGCCCTTCTTCTTTATGCTTCAGCCAATATTGTTGTTATTGGTAACTTTAATGCTTCAGCCAATATTGTTGTTGTTGGTGAATGAATGGCTTGGCTTGGGTGTCAGTGCATTAGGGCCTGCAATTTTTGCCTTTCTCTATCCTTAACTCAAATAGTCAACTTTCCAACTCGCTTTCCAGACAATTTGAATTATTTACCTTCTTTACTCAACTTATGTCTTCCTTTTCATTCTAGTCAGTGCTCAGTTTCTCCAATTATAGTTTGATCTTTCTAAAAATCTCATTCTTTTTCATCATCAGAATCCCACTTTTGTACCTCTTACAACTTTCTTTACAGCTGACTGGGACTCTTTACGTGATTTTCTTTGTGATAGCGATCTTTAGGGACTCTTTACGTGATTTTCTTTGTGATAGCGATCTTCCTGCTGAAAAATGTGCTTGTTAAGCAATTTTTTAATTGGTTAAGCAATTGTTAAGCAATTGTTAAAAGGTTTTGTCTAAACTGTTGAAAAAAGGTTTTGTCTAACGCCAAAGCCTGCTATTCTCAGGTCATAAAATCAGGTATTTCATCTAAAAAATTAGGCTTAGTGACTTCTGGATAATATTTAACAGTATCAATAATAAACGGCAATTCCACTGTTATTCCACCTCTCTTGTATGGTTCAGATTTTGTTACATCACCTAAAGAAAAAGCTAAAATATTTGCTGAGAATTTTTCATCAATTTTATCTCTTGATTCCATTAGTTGCGTACTATCTGATATAGCTGACAAACAAGTTGATCCATAGCTTGACATTCGTATCACTGCATTTGTATCTAAAGTGATTTAGCTTAGAATCTTGTGGTCCAGATAACATACCTGTTACAGTCTTGCAGAAGTGTTCTCCGAACTCTCGTATATACTATCAAAACTATTTAACAAGTAATATCAGACTCTTGTTTTCCAGCTTGTTGGAAAGCGGCATCTGTTATCCCTATTTTCTAAAAATTCTGGAGAGTGATCTGACTCGTCTAATTACTGTTCCAGTAGTGTTCTTCCTAACATAAGCAATGATTTTGAATCTTTAATTAACAAACACTTAATCCCTCATCTTTAATCTAATAACTTACTTTCTGATTTACTTGTTCTACAGCTGATTTGCTAACAGTAACAACTAATAGGTTTTATCATGCATTAGATAGATGTGGAGAGATTAAGTCTATCTCTCTTGACATTTCTTTATCAAGTTTTTGATAAAGTCTAACATGCTGCTCTTCTCCATAAGCTTTCTTCTTATAGTGTATCAGGTAACATCTTTAAGATTATTAAATCCTTCTTTACCGATCGTAGTATGAAAGTTGGCCTCTATGGACACCACTTTTCTTCATATCCTGTAACTTCAGAGTTCTTTAACTTAAGGGGTTTTATCCTTGGCCATATAGTCTTTTTAACTTACATTAATGATCTTCCAGATATTCTCACATCCAAGGTAATATTGTTTACTGATGATCTTCCATTTATTCTCTTCTTGATAAGAAGCCAACAGTCTCTTATTTCTTGGGAGAGGCATTTGAGCTTAAAAAGGATCTCACTTCTGCTACAGCGTGGGGCTCACAGTGATGGATCTTCCAATGATACTCTTTCTCTTTTAAACAAGGTACAAAAAACACATTGTAAACATAGTTAGACCTGCTCTTACAGCCAACTTCCAACCATTATCACTTCATCCTAATGTTGCTTCTCTTTACCTTTTCTGTAAATATTATAATAAACACAACTCTAGAGAGCTAGCGCCACTTGTACCATCTACTAAACTTCTCTTTCAAAATACTCAACATTTAATTAAGTTTCATCCTTTTACTGTGAGTGTTCCTCTAGTTTTTTTTCATGAACATCCGTTTTTTGAAATTCGCTTCTTTTATCTTGCTTAACTGATTTATATAATTTGCATTCTTTTAAGTTGTCTGTTAATCGTTATCTTGCTCTATAAATTTAATCTTTTCTCTTCCAGTAATTTTCAACTTAAATAATGGTTGCTCGCAGCCTTATTTATATATATATATATATATATATATATATATATATATATATATATATATATATATATATATATATATATATATATATATATATATATATATATATATATATATATATATATATATATATATATATATATATATATATATATATATATATATATATATTTAAATATATATTGTTGATTGATTTCATATTGTATTAAAAATGTATTAAAACTCTCGATTGTAGAAAAGTGCTCAATAATTTAGAAATTTTATTTGAACTTTAAATTGAAGCATTATAAAATTAAAATGAAGAAAAACAACAATTTATGTTGAAGTTCATTTATATGGAATTTGAAGTTTCATGCCCTATGGGCAATTATCAGCCATGAAATATATATTCAAAAATAAAATTAAAACTTTTGAAAAAATTGTAAAAAAAATGGAACAAGTTCTGACGCCTCTAGGAACATTAAATCTAACTAAAGAAAAAATGAGATATAATAATGATTATTTAATTACCGGTGTCAAAAGTGGACAACAGAAATGTTTTTATGTTTTTGCACAAATAGACTATTTTGCCCTGCTTGTTGAATAAGTTTAAAAAACTGTTAATAGATAGTTTAAAGTTTGTTATACAATCATTTAACACCAATACATATAAACAAAAAGCTTTTTAAAGAAATACTTAAAGTTAAAAAAAAGTTATTTTGTGAAATCTATTAAATAAAAAGTTATTAGACATTGCTGGACATAAAACCTGGCCTTAAAACTTTTGTTGGACATAAAACCTTGCCTTTTGTCAAACTTTTGTTTAAATCAAAAATTTCAAATATTATTTTATTAAGAAATAGCAAAATGCCTCTATGTGCAGATGAAAAAACAAATTTCCTCCTACAATACCAAACGAAGATAACCTTTATTATATCTTATTTTTTCTAATCTAATATTGCTATAGAGATGTTTTTTAATATTTTTAATATTTTAATATTTTCTAATATTTTTTCTTTCATTAGATCTAATATTGCTAAAGAGATGTCAGAACTTGTTCCAATGTATTTGTAATTATTTTTAGCTGTAAAATACAATATATATATATATATATATATATATATATATATATATATATATATATATATATATATATATATATATATATATATATATATATATATATATATATATTTATATATATATATATATATATACATTTTTTTTTACAGCTTCCAACAAGGCTGCAAGTAACCACTAATTAGAGTTGAAAGTTACTGGAAGAGAAAAGATGAAGATTATAGAGCAAGATAACGATTGACAGACAACTTAAAAGATTGTAAATTATATGAATCAGAAAAGCAAGATGAAGGAAGCGAATTTCAAAGAACTGATGTTCGAGGAAAAAAATATATATATATATTAAAACTCAATTTATATCTAAGACGCATTTTCCTAACATCACTTAATGTAAAAATGGGCATTATTGGACATATTAGTTTTTCAAGAAAAGAAGAAAAAAAAAACGAAAAATAATGAAAGAAAAATCCTCAGTTGATGTAGCAGCATTCCTTTGTGGCAGCAGGCTATAAGATAGTCAATATATGTATTGAAACCCCTGCAAGTTCCTTTTTTTGTATGACACCATTTATGTGCATCTAATGCTGCATTTATGTCTGTGTGTGTGTGTGTATATATATGTATATATATATATGTATGTATATATATATGTATATATATATATGTATGTATATATATATGTATGTATATATATATGTATGTATATATATATATGTATGTATATATATATATATTTATGTATATATATATATATATATATATATATATATATATATATATATATATATATATATATATATATATATATATATATATATATATATATATATATATATATATATTTATACACATAAAACTAAACAATCTATCAAAAATCAAGTATACTAAAATATTTATTTAAATACTTTGAAGGTCTCCAACTCCTTGATTACTGGTACAATTTTTGCAAGTGATGGAACAAACTCTGAAGCCAGTAATGGGTTCTTGTTAAGCTAAGGTGAAATACACAATAAAAAAAATCTAACTGTCACAAACTCAAGCGAGATCTAAAAATTACCATCTGCTTTTAGATAGGCAGTGGAAGTTTAAATTTCTGAAAGAGTCAGTAGAAACTCAGTGTTTGAGATTTTAGAGAAAAAAAAGCGTTTGAGATTTAGAGAAAAAAAAAATCATCTTTTCAGCTTGAAAACTTATTATTTAAAATATAAAAAAAAATTTATCAACAGTTTCAGCAAAAAACTTCATGGCAAAAGCATAATGGACATTAAAAGCATGATAGACATTAAAAGATAATTCTTTTTAGCCCATATAAGAAGACAGTAAATTTAAAATTGTCATATCTTTGAACTAAAAATAAATTTCAGAAAAAACTTAAAATCTCTTAATTTTATCAAATAAGTAAATTTTTTTTCTTAAACTTTTTTCCTTATTTTATTTTTGGGGAATGTTTTTTTTTTTTTTAAAACCTATTTCCTTATTTTATTTTTGGGGAATGTAAATGTTTTTTTTTATTGCAATCTCTTTACAAAAACACCAAAAAAAAAACATCTCAATAACTTTTTAATTATTTGCTTTTGAGAAAAACTGTTTTGAATGTGTTTAGAGTTTAAAATCAGTTCTTACTAGTTTGATCAATTTTAAAGGAATAGTTTTGCTGTTATGATTAACTGAACATTTGCTGTTTTTGTATGTATAACCCAAAAACTGTATTCAAATTATTGATTTTATCTCTGCAACTAGTGAACCTATGAAGCTGAAATTTGGCGTGTCCAAATTTCAGTTACAGCTAACTTAATCTTGGAGAAAATACCCAATGCACCACAAAAACCAAAAGATAGGTACCCCAAAAACAACATTGATGTTTTTAAATTAACATTTTATAAGCTATACATGTGATCTTGCATTTTACTATATTAATTCTATGTAACCTCTTGATTCTAGTGATTGATTGATTGCAGTGTTTTTAAGCAAAGTTTGCTTTGTGTTTTTTACGTATCAAAAATCAATAACATTTTTAGAACATATTAATTGCAAGAATTTATTATAATTTACTTTGTGTTTGAACCTAGAACAAAATCTAATTTTTTACATGAAAGTTGTTATTTAGTATTTAGATGTGTTCTTTAAGCAACTAATGTACTCTAAAATGTTTAACGATAATTTTTTTAATCAAATAGAGTTAGAAAAAAATAACATAGAAAATGAAGCCCAAATTCCAGCTCAGACAGGACAAATTAAAATCTATTTGTGGAAAAAGTAAGCCTGAGACATCGATTGGGAGAAAGTTCACAGATGCAAAGAATTTTTTTCAATTAGAAAAGGCAGTGCCAAGAATTTGATGATTACCTTACTGAGAAGGCAATAGAATGACCTGTTGTTTTATTATCTTACTTATAGATAGTTCAAGATTCAGTTACGATGGTTTAATATACCTCCTTTCAAAACAAATTTGGTTATTTATTTCTCCTCCCAACACTACTGGTGTAATTCAATTGCTTGATCAGGTTAATAAAAATCCTCACCACGAGTACAGAATTGCCAAGAAATATCTTTTCAACCCAATGCAATCAATTAATCGAGAGCGATTTATGGCCATCTTAGGCAATACATGGGAGAAATAGGCCGGTTCTTGTTTCTAGTGCAAAGAAGAATTGGAATAACACCTTTTGAATTAAATGTTAACTTCATGCAATAAGATAAATTTGAGCAAGCTGCTGCATGCATTCATAAAGAAGAACCTGCCTCAACCTTGTTCAAAAAACCTGAATCAACCATTTTGTTACCAGTTGGTAAAAGGAAAGGTTTGGCAAGTTACCCAGAAAGGTAAGTTTGACCAGTCTCAAATCTTGTTTAGAGAAATGGATGAGCAAAGCCTCCAATAAGAAAATATTCCTGATCTGCTAACTATTAAGAAAATCAAACCAAATCTTGAAAAAATATCTACTCATGTTACTCAGGTCTATGGTTCAATGCGTGCAAAAGATATCATAGAAAAAGTGAAAGATATAAAAATAAAGAAACAACAAAAGATAACAGCGAAGGAGGAAGCCAAAAAAAAAAAGAAGCTAAAGAAAAATTGTAAAGTTGAATGTTTTTGCAAACAAAGGAAATGTCAAGCTTTTGGCCTAAGCAATGTCCTAATTGTCTTGATGTTCTCAGTTCAATTTGCAGCAAAGTGAGTTGCAGAGTCGATGGTGTTAAACTGGTTATGCTTTTACCAGCAAACCAGCGGTTCTCCACATTTAAAAGATTGATATACGACCATTATAATGAATGCAAAGACAATCAGTAATCTTTTGTTGAATTAAAGTAATCAGTTAAAGTACTATTTTATTTATTTATGTTATCTTAACATTGGTGTAGTAACCTATTGTTATAATAATGTTATCGTCTGCAACCATTTTAGATGTCTGTGTTATTACTGCTGTGTTCAAATATTGTTTTTAAGATAAATATATATTATTTTCTTTAAAAAAAAATCTAATACAATGGTAATTTAATATTATATGACTTACTAAAGTGCATAAGTGTAGCTATGAAAACATAATAATAATTAGTAATTTATTGTATTACTATAATGTATTTATTATTTCATAATTTGCATTTTTTTAATAATTTCCATAAGTATATAGAAGTTTGCAACTTTTTTGCTATTTTCAACTTATTTTGTATACAATAATTGAGATAATACTAGATTTAATATTAGAAATGTTAAATTCTAAACAATGTTATAATTTAGTTTATGAAAATTTTTTCATAACTATGCATTGTTCATGTAAATTTTGCATAACTATGCATAACTCATGCAAATTTTGCATAATTATGCATAGTTCAGGGAAATTATGTGTAATTATGTGTAGTTGGTGCAAACTATTAATTACATCACTGCAATAATGTATATAAGTATAATTTGAATTATAATTTATACTATATCTACTTTACAAAATAAAGATTAAATAATTTATCATTTTAAAATAAACCTGTTCAATACGCTTTTTGGTGAGTACTGATTTAACTACTATAGTCATGTCTCCTGGTGTGTATCCGTCTGTTATTTTTGACAATGAACTGAGATCTAAAGCATCAGACACCTTTCCACCATACATTATAATTAAGTGAGGCCATAAAACTAAAGAGAGTTATTCATAACTAACAACTAATTCAACATGATTTACTGACACAAAATTAAATTATTTTCTAAATTATCAAATATATTATATCCTTTTTATATATTATGTTTTTATACATAATATATTTTGACAGAAATTTTTCTGTTAAAATAAAAAAATATTAAATATCAAAATTTAAAACATTTTTACGAGAAAAAAATTGTGGCTAAGTGATATATTTAAACTTATTCAATACAAACAATTGTTTACTTTTAAAACCACTATCAAAACTAAAGTTTAAACTCATTGGAGAGCTAAATGATTTAGTTTTACTATGTTTCATACCTAATAATATCATTAGTATCATTAATAGAAACAATACGTTAAAAGGTTGCCTAGATACCTACTGCATATTTAGAACATTTTCTAAAAACATTTAATAACAATTCAATAACAAAATAACAACATTAAATATTACTAAAGATTCTAAATATATTTGATGAAATTTTTTGTTTTAATATGTGGACATTGGGTCGAATAAAACAATAAAAATCAATTAAAATTTTTTTTTAGTGTTATTCACCTTTCCAAAGCTGAGAAGGCCGCTACAGTTTAGGAGGCTACTTTGTAATTACAACCTTCTCTCAACTCTTTACCTCTGAAACACAAACCTTGAAAAACAAGCCAACAATCATGTTGAGTCTGATACTAACAGAGAGGTGGTGGGAATAGAACTTGGAACTTCTTGAATATAAAGAACTCAACCACTACACCACTATCGTATACAGTTTATTACTTGATTTAATCAATCAGATAATTTGATGATCTGATATTTGAATGTAAACAAATTCAATGATTTAATCAAAACTTTTTTATAATTAAAAAAGTTCTAATCATCAACTAACTTGCTCATTTTATTTTATAACTTGCTCATTTTATTCTCTCAACTATAACTTGCTCATTCTATTAACCTCCCAACTATAACTTGCTCATTTTATTAATCTCTCAACTATAATTTGCCTATTTTATTGACCTCTCAACTATAACTTGATCATTTTATTGACCTCTCAAATATAACTTGCTCATTTTATTAACCTCTGAACTATAACTTGCTCATTTTATTGACCTTGAATTTTTTCTTAAAAATTCCTTCTTTTTTTTTAATAAATTTACTGTTTATAAATTTATTTAATTTTAATTAAAATCTGTGTATTTATTGTTTTTTTAATTTTACTTTATTATGTCAAACTTCAATTAAGTATTGCAATTTTTATTACTATTTTCCACAGAAAAAAGTAATAAAACACAAAAAAAATCACATATAACACCAGGTACATTAACAGCCAAAAATCATGTAAAAAATTTATTAAAAAAAAATCATAAATTTTAATATAAAACTTAAATATTTATATCTATATCTAAAAATTCTAAAAAATATTGAAGTCATAATATTTAAGTTAAGATATTTAAGTAAAAAAAAAAAAATTGAAATAATTAAGTGAATAAGAAATCTTACGAAATCTAGAAGAATAGTCAGGGTGTGGTATAAATAAAATTTTTTGGTACAATGAACAAAGAGGTTTTACTTCAGCATCTATGAAGTAGAAAGTCAAGGACAATGATATTTCAAGTTAAAAAGATTTTATTTCAAGTCTAAAAACTAAAAAAATACTTAACTTGTGATAATTTAACAAAACTTTTTTATTTGCAAATACACTTTAACAAAAAAACGTTTCAATAAGAAAACAATTTAATATAAAAATAGTTTAATAAAAAAATAATTTAACAAGAAAACACTTCAATAAAAAACACTCAAACAAAAACACTCCAATAAGAAAACTTCAATAAGATAACCTTTCAATCACAAAACAATCAAATAAAAAAGCACTTTATTTCCAATACTGAATTAAAAATTGAAAAGGATACTATAAGGCTCACGAGTAGTGCCAATCAAAAGCACTCTATTTACAGATTTTAATCCTTTAACAAACTTTGGAAGTAATTTTTTTAATCGCTTTGGATCAGTCTAAAAAATATATAAAATTTTATGCTTACAAAACATTTTTTATTTTTAGTAATTGCAGAATCACAAATAAATTAAAAATTGCAAAATTACAAATAAATAGACAAAGATAAACATGTTTTTAAAATATATTTTAACAACAGAAGTTTTAAAATTAAAAAAAATAATTAAAAACAACAGAAGTTTTAAAATTAAAAAAAAAAAATATTTAAAGTAACACAATTACTTGATCAGTTTTTGGAATTTTTTTCTGGAACATCTTTTCACAATTACCAATATATACAACTGCAGGTGGAAGTAGACAAGCAACCTGAGTATATTAAAACATTTGCTTAAATAAATTATTGGTCAGAAATTAAAAATTTAGAATTTCTTTAAAGTGATCATTAAATTTAAATACTAATAAAAATTAAATATATGACTGTCAAAAGATTTCACATGAAAAATTTAAAAACATTGTTAGAAATTTATCATAATCTAATAAGTACTTCCTCAGGTCTTATCTAACCTATACCAAAAGTATAGGTAAGATAAGACCAGAAGAAGTAGATAGGATCAAGTTAGGTACAACATGAGGTAGAAATAGGTTAGGTAGAAGTTTGATAACATACTTTAAAAATTATATGAAGCATCATTTTTAACCCAGATTTACCAGGATACTTTCCATAGATGTTGGCTGCAGTGAGATCAAAAAAAAGCGCTCCAGTCTCAGTACATATTGCATGCAAAAGCATTTTTTTGCCACAACCTCGTGGCCCAGTTATCAATACTGACTTTATTAAAGGTGCATTTTCATGAACTACTTGTGAACCTGTAATCAAAATAACATTTTCAACTTTAAACAAAGTTACAAAACAATACATTTACTAATATACTTATCAAATATATTTTCTTAACTTTCATATCTTTTCTTATATATCTCTTTTTAAAAAAAAAACAATGATTATGTTTATACTTAAACAAATTTATTGCATATACAATATTATTTATAGAAATCTATTATTGCACACAGAAGAATATACTATTACGTAATTCCTTTCTCCTAATTGAAACATAATAATAATACTTTACACAAATCCTAACTTTTTATCTCCAATAAAAAGTTATACCAAGTGGCAGTATGCAAAACTCTGTAATAACTCTTCTCACATCAGAAAGTGATGGCATATTTTCAATATTCATTTGTTGAAAAGTAGTTCCTAAGTAGCTATAATCACCAATAAAATCTTTCAGATTTGTAAGTGGATAACTTTTTAATATTCCAGCTTGTACTAGTTCTTCACAAAGAGATTCAAGTGTACTAAATAAATTTGCTTATATATATATATATATATATATATATATATATATATATATATATATATATATATATATATATATATATATATATATATATATATATATTTGTATATTATACATATATTTATATATACATGTAAACATACATATATACAGTATATAAACCAATCACATCTAATGATTTTAAAATAAATGACAATAATGAAATGGAATAAAAATAGAGAACGCAGAAAATTGGATATAAAAATAATACTTAAAAAATACTACTTATATACTATAATTCAAAAAAAAAAATACAACAATTCTATTGAAAGAACCTTATTATTTAAAGGAGGATAAAAATAAAAGAAAGTGAATATATATATATATATATATATATATATATATATATATATATATATATATATATATATATATATATATATATATATATATATATATTTATATACATGCACACATGCATACACACACATATACAGTGTGTCAAAAAATCTCTTTTAATTATTTTAAAATAAATGACAATATTTTATGCTTAAATTTAAATTTTCAACAATACTTTTTAACATTTTCATTACAAGAAATTTATTATCTTAAACTATCATTATATATAAAGAAAAAATAAGATAAAAATATATAAAATGTTTTATAAAAGCCTGATGATACCTCCACAATGTTTGAAAGTCAGTCTCATTTTTTTATATCTTAATCAATAAATGTGGCAGTCTTAGGTAGATGCCGCTTTCTGAGCAAATTTTTGATGGTACCTAATGTTTTATACTTTCTAATGTTTTTATATCCATTCCTATTTATAAAGTGTTCTAAGAGAAGGTGGGCAGGACAAGGCCACACAAAATTTTCATAAGGAAAAGGAGATATTAAAGCTGCTTGCCCGGTGTTTATCAGTTTTGCAGACTATGAATGGGTACTTTGAACATTATGCTGCCATCAAGAAATGAAACTTTATTACATGAAATAATAAAAACAACTCATAAACTTGTGAATAATGAAGTTGTTCTTTAAGTTCTACAAATTTTACTTTCATGCATTTTGATTCACTGACAATACTCTTTATAAATTGCAAGTCATTTTTTTATTAAATCATCACTCAATAATAGCTTGACATTGAGATAAAAAAAAAAAACATTTTATGCAACAGACCAAAAGGAATTAAAGTTGGAATCTGAACCAATATGTTTCCAAAGAAATAATTCTAAATAATTCTGTGATAGCCTTAATAACGTTTGACAAAAAATTTTGAATATTCTTGTTTAGCATTGATTTGGAGACAAACAAGAAGTATTTCATGCATGATTATTTCTCAATAAACATTTTTCTGTAAAATAAACTAGAAAAGAACTGTCCCACGCTGAAAATCAACTTTTTAATTTTTTATCAAAACTTTGATATTATGTTTTATAACATGATATCAAAGTTTGATATTATGATGATAACTTTATTTTTTTACTTTGATTATCTACAGTGGTGGCCAAAAGTCCTGGAACATCATATTTTATGTTATGAAATCAATATATTTGTGTGAAAAACAATTTATTAGTAAATTTTTTTCAATAAAATAAGTGTTTATAACAATTTTAAAGATGATAGGTACTTGCACATACATGATAAAAGTTCAATATTTAATGGAAGCATAGTTATTGTCAATTACCATTTGGATACCTTTTGGCATGCTGTTAACAAGTTTTGTACAACAGTCTTGTGTAATTTCATGGATTCACACTGATTTGATTGCTTCAACTAAATCATTATAGGATCTAGGCTTTTTGGCAGCAACTTTTACTTTCATAATATGCCAACAATTTTCAATAACATTAAGATCTGGTGATGACCCAGGCCAATTTTCAAAGATTTGAATTCCTTCATCAGCAAACCACTTCTTTACAATTTTGGCTGTGTGGCATGGTGCACCATCCTGTTGGAAATAAGTGCAGTTCAAGATCTGCATGAAAGGTGGCAACTTCTCCTTCATACCATCCAAATAGACTTTGCTGTTTATTGTGGTATTCTTGGGCATTATCCATAATGGCCTACGTCCTTTGGCAAAAATAGCACCCCAAACCATACAAGACACAGGAGCCTTGACACTGCTAACTGTATATTTTGGCATATATCTACAGCTTTTTGGTCTTCTTACAAAGTTGTTTGTAACATTAAATTGTTTAATACATGTTTCATCAGAAAAAAGAACTTTAGACCAATTTTCTCTAGTCCAATTTTTGTAGCGCTGACAAAATGTTTTTCAATCTTTTAGGTTTTTTAATGATAAAAAAGGTTTTTTTGCTGGCTTGCATGTCTTCATTTTGAAATCAACCAAAAGCCTTCTTCTAACTGTTCTGTCACTTACTTTTTTCTCAATAAAAATTTCTTTTGAAATCTCATGTGCAGGTAGCCGTGGATTTGCATGGCTGATCCGGCCAATAAGTTTGTCAGTTCTTGAGGTGGTTGCTCTGGGCCTGCCTGATCTCATCTTCGAAGTAAAATTTAATTGGGGCTCTTCTTTATGCCTTTTTAAAGTTCTACTTACAGTTGATAATGAACAACCAAGCTTTTCAGATATTTCTCTTTGAACTAAACCTTGTTCATATAATGCAGCAATAATTCCTCTTTTTTTAGGTGAAAGTTCTGGCATAATATAGCTGATAAATTGTTATGAATAATAAAAAACAATAATAAATTCTGCAATATACAAATATGTAACTATAAACATATTGCTATGTAAAAACAAAAGCATCAAACCTTCAAAATTTATACTTTAGATGGAAAATAAATTTTTTTGGTCGTTAAATGTTTTGTTCCAAGACTTTTGGCCACCACTGTATATCAGTAAAGTTAACTTTAGTTTAGAGTTATATATACTTATATTTATATACTATATATACTTATATTTAAAGAGATATACAAAATTTGTTTATTTCTTTGTAACCAGCGTTTGAACTTATCCTCAATAAGCCACAAGTCTTGAAACTAACTTTTATACTTAAGCCTAAACAAAACAATTTTTTTTTAATTTATACAAAAAAATTAATTTATACAAAAAACAGTTTGTGAAAAAAAAAAATTTTTTTTTTTAATTTTTTATTTATTTTTATTCACCTCCTCAAGGCTGAGAAGGCCACTACAGATGAGTAGGCTACTTATTTGAGGCTATAACCCTCTCTTAACTCTATAACTCTGAAACACGAACCTTGACGAACAAGGCCGCTGCGCAGAGAAACGAGTTGAGCGCAGTACTACCAGGGACGTGGTGGGGATCGAACTCAGAACCACTCGTTTATGAAGCGAGCGCTCTACCACCACACCACTACCGCATTAAGAAATGATTTAATTATTAAAAAAAAACTATTTTGACAAAAAACTTACCTGAATTACATTGACTAACAAGTTTATTTGTTTCATTTTTTTTCACTGCAATTTTACAAACCCATACAACAAAAAGTTAAGAAAAGAATAGTGGGCAAGATGCTTTTTGACTTTCATTGGATGGTTTTTTATTTTGAGAACAAGATTATAAATATCGTTTATTTATAAATTTTATAAATTATTAATAATAATAATACTATAATAATTTAAAAATCTTATTCTACTTTAAAAACAACTCTGAGTAAAATTTAATTGAAAAATTATTAGGGGGTGATACTGTGCGTGAATAAATATATAAAAAATATTTTTTAAGATTCATAACAATATTAAAGTTAAAAAAAACTATACATTTTTAATAAAAGTACCCTGAAAATCTGAAAAAAAAATTAATATTATCAAAATAAAATATATTAATTATATATATATATATACATATATATATATATATATATATATATATATATATATATATATATATATATATATATATATATATATATATATATATATATATATATATATATATATATATGATGCTGCTTAGCTCCTAATAATGGTGTATTGTCTGCTCCTATTCTAAATAACCGTACTCTTTTGTTTTTATCTGAAACGTATTTGAATGAAAATCAACAAAAAATAGTTTTGGATTTTCTTAGACAAAAAAAAAACTTACAGAGCTATCGAAAACGAGATTGGAGCTCCATGTTCCACCATCAAACATTGTAAAAAAGTTTGAAAGTCACCAAACTGTAAAGATTTTTGAAAAGACGTGGGTGAAAACATAAGAATGATGTAAAAGAAGATCACTTGGTTGTAAGATTATTCAAGAAAATTAATTCAAAACATCCAGAAAAGTTGCAGAATATGTTAAAAATAACACAGTACGATCCAAAATGGTTTACATGAAAATGGATTTAAAAGCTGCACACCATGTAAAAAAATATTTTGACACAGCAACAAGAAAAAAACGATTATTATTTGCTAAAACTCATGTTAATAAGCCAATTTCATTTTTAAAGAAAATACTTTAGTCGGATGAATCCAAATTTAATTTGGTACATTCTGATGATAAACCAAATGTTTAGAGAAAAATATATATATATGTGTGCATATATATATATATATATATATATATATATATATATATATATATATATATATATATATATATATATATATATAAATATACATATATATATATATATATATATATATATATATATATATATATATAATATATATATATATATATATATATATATATATATATATATATATATATATATATATATATATATATATATATCTATATATATATATATATATATATATGTATATATATATGTATGTATATATATATATATATATATATATATATATATATATATATATATATATATATATATATATATATATATATATATATAAATGGTGCATTTCATAGCAATTTTGAAAAAAATGTGATTTAAAAATTTTTTCTTTTACTATTGATTATTATAATATATGTTGTTATATTGTATGTTGTAAAACTTGTTATAAAAAAATTGATTCCAAATATTATACTTAAAGTTGTGTTACATCAGTAACTACTTTGAAAACGTGACTGAAATGATGTTATTGAGG